CCTCCCAGGCTGCTCTCCTCAATTCGCTGCTGGTTGCACTTTTTGGGCCTGGAGCTGCAGTGCTCCCAGTTATCCTACAGTGCTCCCAGTTAATCCTACAGTGCTCCCAGTTAATCCTACAGTGCTCCCAGTTATCCTACAGTGCTCCTGGATATCCTACAGTGCTCCCAGTTATCCTACAGTGCTCCTGGTAATCCTACAGTGCTCCTGGTAATCCTACAGTGCTCCCAGTTAATCCTACAGTGCTCCTGGTTATCCTACAGTGCTCCCAGTTAATCCTACAGTGCTCCTGGATATCCTACAGTGCTCCTGGATATCCTACAGTGCTCCCAGTTAATCCTACAGTGCTCCCAGTTAATCCTACAGTGCTCCTGGTTATCCTACAGTGCTCCCGGTTATCCTACAGTTCTTGTGGTGTCCCGGTTATCCCATGGTTATCCCGGTTATCCCATGGTTATCCCGGTGTCCCGGTTATCCCATGGTTATCCCGGTTATCCCATGGTTATCCCGGTTATCCCATGGTTCTCCCGGTGTCCCGGTTATCCCATGGTTATCCCGGTTATCCCATGCTTCTCCCGGTTATCCCGCAGTGCCACCTGCCGCCGGTCCAGCTCCGTTCCCCGGCGATCCCGCAGCTCCCGGCTCTCCTCCCTCTGGCCACAGGGACGCTTCGTTCCCTCTCTGTTCTGCCCCCTCTGCTCCTCCTCGGGGTATTTAATTTCCCCCTATTTTTGCCGGGAATCTGGGATGTGCAGCAGGGGGAGCAGGGCAGGGAGCGGAGGGGCTGAGCACACAGGGGGTGCTGCCCTGCCCTACAAACCCTACAAACCCCACAAACCCCACAAACTCCACAAACCCTACAAACCCTACAAACCCCACAAACCCCACAAACCCCACAAACCCCACAAACCCCACAAACCCCACAAACCCCACAAACCCTACAAACCCCCGGGGTGCTGGGGCTGTCCAGCCCGGCAGAACCTGCTGCAGGTCGTGTTTTGGGGCAGCCCAAACCCCAGACAGGTGCAGCTGGGAGCTGCAGTGCTGGTGGAGGTTGCTTGGCTGGCTGTGCTGGGCAGTGGAAGGTCTCACCCGGCTGTCCCCATCTCACCCTGCCACTGGATTGATCTCTGCCCAAATCTCGGGCTGGAGTCCCCGGGGTGTCCTGGAGCTGCTGGGTGGCGGTGGCCGTGCCCTGGGGACGCTGCTGACCTGGCACACGGGTCGGTTCTTGTCCCCCCCGTGCAGGAGCTGACTGTGCCTCGGCTGAGCCCCTGGTGCTGGAGCAGTATGTCGTGGTGGCCGACTACCAGAAGCAGGAGAGCTCGGAGATCAGCCTGTGCGTGGGCCAGGTGGTGGATATCATTGAGAAGAACGAATCAGGTACAGGGAGCTGGGGCTCCACAGGAGCTGCACAGGAGCAGTGCTGGGTTGTCAGGGCTTTCCCTCAGCAGAGCAGGCCCCCGGTGTCCCACGGAGCTGAGGAGGGGTGTGGAGGAAGCAGCTTTGGTCTGTGAGTGTGGACGAGGCTTCAGGGCTCTCTCTAAGGGCTGAGTTCCCCTTGTTCCTCCTCCACCTTCATCAGTCTCTACTTTGTGCTTCTTTGTGCTGAGAACCTTGGCTGATGTGTCCTGAGGACAAAAGCCACCCCTGGGTTTGGCAGGCTGGTTTAAGTGACGTTGGGGGACACTGGTGGCCACGAAATCCCCATGGGCGCACTCACAATTCCTGTGGGCAGCAGCCGAGCTCTTCGCTTGCTTCAAAACTCAAACTTGCTCTTAACCTGTGCAAAGGGACCGAGCCGTGTCCAGCTTCTGGAGCTTCTGCAAAATTTATTCCCTGCTTGTTGGGGGGACTTAAGCCATGGAAATAGACTTTAACACTCTGGAGAGCTGGTCCCCAGAGGATCAGTTGCACCAGCAGCTCTGTTTGAGAACAAGAGAAATAAAAGCAACCCTGAAGCAGATGAAACTATTAGCACAGCCAGCTCAAAAGCTGTGGAAAATCATTTATTTATCAAAGGTCAGCCCTGCTTTTCCCTCCCATACAGGTAGCCAATTCCCTCCCTGACAATCTGGTTGTCTTTCTAAATGATTCACTGGTGGGGTTCTGAGGGTAATGCTCAGTCCTTGTTTTCCCCCCTAAAGACACAAATTGTGTTTTTAATAACGAGCAGCAAGCGTTGGTTTTGATTGGACACACAGGGGGGGCCCAGAATTGCTCATGGCCTCTCTGGAGCTGGCTGGGTTTCCACTGGGAGAGCTGATGCTTTAAATCCTGCGTTTGCTGGGAGCTTTTCAGTTTTGCTGTTTCCACAAAAGTAAAGAAGGCGAGCGCAGCAGGACTCGGCTATCGATTCACACACAGGGTATTCATCTCTGCTAATTAGCCCAGGCTTGCTGACCCACACTGAGGGAAAATGAACCATGAAGGGGCAGAAAAAAACGAAAGCAAATTCAGGGGCTGGAGCCATTCAGCTCTCAGAGCCTCTCCTGCTTTTCCTGGGGAGAGAATTGTACTTTTAGATGTCACTCAGCTGCAGTTCTGTGCTCAGCTCTGTTGCTTTGGGGTCACCTCATCTTCCTGTGGAGATGCAAGAAAGGGGTCACAGCCCCCCAGGCTGGTTTGGAGGGAGGGAAGGAGGGAGTTTTTGGCTGGTGTGAGCCCTTGGCTGAGCCTCCTGCTGTTTTCTCCTCAGGCTGGTGGTTCGTGAGCACGTTGGAGGAGCAGGGCTGGGTGCCAGCGACCTGCCTGGAGGCCCAGGATGGAGTCCAGGATGAGTTCTCCATGCAGCCTGAAGAAGGTAAGGAGCTGCTGGAGGCATCTGCCCCAGCTTCCTGTGCTGGAAGCACCACATCACCCTCCCTGAATGGGGCAGGGCACGAGCCTGGGGGAGGAAAAACCCAGGAACAACACCTGGGAAAAGGAGTGGAACCTCAGGAATGGTCCTGCCTGGCCAGTGCTGCAGCAGGACTGGGGACACTGGTGGTGTATCCACTGGCCTTTCTGCTTCTCCACAGAGGTGCCACCTCCAAGGAATGCTCACCCCAGGGCTTCCTTTCAGCCCAGGGAGCTGTTTTACCTGCCCTGGAGGAGGAGCAGAGCCCAGATCCTTGGACAATGCATGTGCCCTCAACACGTGCAGAACAAAGAGCACGCAGTGTGGGAATAGCAAGGTTCCAGCCTGTCCTTGGAGCAAATCCCAAGTGTCCTTGGATAACACATCCTTCCCAGTGACTCTGTGCCCAGAGCAGAGCAGTGGCTGGCTCAGCCCCTCATCTGGGCAGCTGGAGGTGGAGGGGGGCTCAGCCTGGGGAGGGCTCCAGGTGAGCAGAGTCTCTGTGTCAGCCCTGTCTCCTCCTGGGCCTGAAGTGCCACCTCCTTACGCCCTCTCTTGTCCTTTTCCTGCTTCCCCACCGTGCTGTTCCCAGTGCCATGGAGATACTGGTCTCTGCCCAGGCACCTTGGCCGCCGCCGGACTCTTGGGGACTTGTACACCGGTGGATGGGGTCAAGGTGGAGCGCACAGAGACTTTCTTGGCTGCCCCTGTGTTGTGCTTGGAGCCTCGTGTGCATGTTGGTTTGCTGTGCATGTGTCAGAGCGTGCCACCCCTGCTCCTCAGCCTTCCCTGAGCCCCCTCACGTGCACATCCCTCTCCTCTCTCAGCTGCTCCTTCTCGTGGTTTGTTTCAGGCTCAGAAACTGCAGCTCCTGCTTTTCCCCAGCACACAGGGGCAGAATTCCTGCCACTGCTGCCTTAGTTCCTGGAGTAACCATGAGTGCTGGGGCTGGTGCCTCAAGGTGGGGTCAGGAGCAAAAGAGCCACCTTGGTCGTGCTGGATGTGGCAGGACATTCTGTGCTGGAAGGGAAATCAAAGCCTTCCAGAGCTGTGCCACTCCCAGAAGACAAATCAGGAAACCCTGGATGGGGGATATAGGGGTGGTGGGGCTACAGAAATGTCCAGAAAGGTGGAGGAGGCAGATTTTTCCCCAAATGACCTTCACCCTGCTGTGACACTGCTTAAGCCCAGGCAGTTATTTCCCTGTGTTTTTTCCAGAGAGGAAGCTGAGGGAGAGGGGAGGATGGATGGACCCATTTGTCTGACATGTCTGCATGGCTTTTAGGACGTTTCTCCTTCCCCCTGAAGGGAACAACATCCACATCCCTGCTTAACATCCCTTGTCCTGGTGGACAGGACGTCAGGCTCTTCTCCAGGCTCCCCACATGGCTTTGACCAATGTCCTGGGGGTTAAATGGTGAAGCTCCTGCAGATCTGCTGCTCCAGAGCCCTCTGAGGGCACCTCTGTGTGCATGGGGCTCCCCCTCATGCCTGTGGGATTCCTCTCCCCTTACAGAGGGCAGTTTGTCTTTAAAGCCTCTGAGAATGAAATTTGAACTGAAATGGATGCATGGAAGAGCTGCCATGACGAGCTGTGAAAAGTCTTTATTCCTAAGGGTGAGGAGGAACTGTTTCAGAGGCCTCCTTGGGCCAGAGTAGCTCTCCAAAGTTTACATTTCCAAATACATTTCACTGTCATTTCCCTTCGAATGGTCGTGCATCTCTGTGTGTTTGCACCTAAATGACAAGAATTATCATTTGTATAAAGCCATTTTTCAGCTGTGGCCAGGTTCCCATCAAACAGTTCCTCTGTGAAACTGTGCTTTCTTTCCAACAGAGGAGAAGTACACGGTTATTTACCCCTACACTGCAAGAGACCAGGATGAAATGAACCTGGACAAAGGGGCTGTGGTGGTGGTGATCCAGAAGAACCTGGAGGGCTGGTGGAAAATCAGGTACTGCAGCTGGGGCTGGGGGATGTCCAGCCCTGAGGCAAGGCTGTGAGCTGGGGAGGGCAGAGTACCAGGGCTCCTTTCTCTCCATCCTGACAGATTTGATGTTCAAGCACGGCTTTGGTTGAAAATCTTGGAAATGCCCCAATTTCCTGTGCTGGGAGGTGGCTGTGTCCTCCAGCAGTGCCCAAGGGGTGGGAGCTTTAGTGGGGTGTCACATCCTGCTGGTGGGAAAACCCACGAATGTCCCAGGGCAGGCTGGACCCCCTGGCTCTGCTCAGAGGCTCCTGCAGGGAATGGCCAGGTCTGGGCCAGCTCTGCTGTGTGCCAGAGGCTCCAGCCCATCCCGAGCTGAGGGTTGTTTCCTGCTGGACGCTCATCTTCTCTTCCCTGTGGTCGAGCAAACAGCCAGGCTTGCTCAGGGTGGGAGCAGACGCTGCAATTTTCTTAACCTTACTCTGAACCTGTGCTCTTGGCAGCAGCACAGCCCCAGAAACACATCCATTGACGTTTGAAGCACAGGAGAGCTGCCACAGGAGCTCGAAAAGCAATTACAAGCTCAGGAGTTGGTGCCATCTGAACGAGGTGGCTGCAGCCCAGCCAGCAGGGAGGGTCTCTGGCATGGCAGGGGCGCTGTGGATGTGGTTTTTCAATCAGCTCATGGGGCTGGTTTCTGTCCTAAACAGATTTAGAGCAGGGAAAGGATCCAGGCTGCCAGCAGGGAGAGGGCTTGTGCTCAAAGACCGGGTACATCAATCCCAGCAGCAGCCCTCTGGTTCTTCCCCTCTGCTTTCCCTGCCAGAGCTCTTCATTCCTGAGCTGGTGCCTTTGCTGAGGTGAAAGCTGGGCTTCAGAGCATTCCCAGCCCTTGGCCCTGGCTGGGGGCAGCTTGTCTGGGAGCAGCAGTCAGGAGGGAGCTCTCCTGGAGAGGCTGGCAAGCTCCTGCTGCCCTGCTCTGCCAAGGTGTGTGCTGAGCTCTGGGCTCATGTCCCTGCTGTGTGACACTGCAGTGACCCTGCTGTCCTCACCCCCACAGGTACCAGGGCCAGGAGGGCTGGGCCCCTGCCTCCTACCTCAGGAAGGGAAATGGAGATGTGTTCCCTCCCAAGCTGGGCCCGGGCTCCTCTGCTCACTCCAGCGCCCTGGATCTGGATGGCATCTCCCGGCAGCAGGCACTGGCCAGCAGGGACAAGGACGGGCTGGGGGGCCAGAGGGACGGGAGGCTCGAGAGCCGGCCCCTGCCCAGCGCCGACATCCGCCGCAGTAAGTGCTGGGCACCTCGGCTGGGCTCCAGAGACAGCCCCAGCTGGGCTCCACACAGCCCCACATGGGCTCCACACAGCCCAGGTGGGCTCCACACAGCCCCAGCTGGGCTCCACACAGCCCAGGTGGGCTCCACACAGCCCAGGTGGGCTCCAGACACAGCCTTCTCCACAGATTTTCGGCAAAATAAGAGGCTGTGAGCTGACAGAGACTTACAGGGTTCTGCAGCGAGGTCTGGGGAGGCACAGGGACCTGCTGGGGGTCAGCAGATAGGATGGGGATCCCCTCCCAGGCTGCAGGGTCAGCTGGAGATGTTCTCCTCTCAGAAAGAGGGGCACCTAAAGGGAGCCTGCCAGAAAGATTGAGAGGAGAAGGGAGAATGGCTTCAAACTGACAGAGGGCAGGGTTAGATGGGATACTGGGAAGGAATTCTTCCCTGGGAGGGTGGGCAGGCCCTGGCACAGGTGCCCAGAGAAGCTGTGGCTGTTCCTGGATCCCTGGAAGTCCCCAAGACCAGGTTGGAGCAGCCTGGGACAGTGGGAGGTGTCCCTGCTCGTGGATGGGGACACAGGTGGGATTTGAGGTCCCTTCCAACCCAGGCAATTCCATGATTCTGGGATTCTGTGATCTTAACCCCTCTGCAGGCCAGGTCCTCTGGGTCAGTCCTGCAATGCAAAAATAATTTCACGTGGTCACTCAGCTGCATTTCCCAGGAGAGCCTGGAAGCTGGGATGCCCTTGAGACCTGGGTGACCTGTGCCACTCGGGACTCTGAGCTGATGGGCTCTGGGCTGATGGGCTCCTCCTTGGGGCTCCTTTCCCCTGGGATGGGTTTAGTCCTTGCCTTTCTGTTTGTCTTGTATGAACACGTGCTCAAAAGCCAGAAACTCAACAGCATCTGGAATTCTTCCTCCACAGAGTCACCAAAGATGAGGCAGAGGCCACCTCCTCGCCGAGACCTCACCATAGTAAGTGCCAGCTGGGGCAGGAGGGCAGCAGTGGCACAGGGGGAGGGAGGGGAGCACTGCAGGGAGCTCTGCTCACTGCCTGGGGTCTCATCCCCATGCCTGGATGTGGTGACACCTGCTGTACAAACACACTGAGGGCTTTCCTGCTTTCCTCTCACAGCCCCGTGGTTTGAACCTGCCTAAGCCTCCCGTCCCCCCTCAAGTGGAAGAGGAATATTACACCATCGCTGACTTCCAGACCACCATCCCTGATGGCATCAGCTTCCAGGCAGGAATGAAAGTAGAGGTGAGGCTGTCACCTTCCCTGCACACATCGTCACTTCAGGGCACTGCTCCTGGCTCCCTGAGACCTGTTTTGGGCAGGAGCTCCCCTCCAGGCCAGGGAGATCTGCTCCCCATGGTGCTCTGGCTGCAGACCAGGCATGGCTTTGTCTCTGGTGACATTGCAGACTCTCAGAGTGGGATAAAAACCTGTGGGAGCTGGAGAGGCTTTGGCCCCACACTGTTCTTGGTGGCCTCCTGTCCCCCAAGCGTGAGTGCTCTCTTTGAGCAAATGGAAAATAAACCTACACCAGAAATGAGGTCAGAGATGGGGCTTTTTCCTCTTAGTTAGGCCAGGTGTACAGTTAAAAGCCCTTCCAAAATTCCTGGCATAGCCTCTTTGCTGGCAGAGCCCTTCCTGCAGATGGGGTTTTACTTCCTCCATGTGCAGATGTGATTTCCACCTCTCTAAGAGGATTTTTCCTTCAGGGCTGCCCCACTCAGCCCCTCTCAGGCCCCAGCCCCGCTCCTGGAGCTGCAGGGAGGCTGGGCAGTGTGGGATGCACACGGGATCGCTGCTGCTTGACTGATTGCTCCAACAGTGCCACGCCGTGGCCACCACCAGCTCCCAGCACCCTGCTCCAGGAGGGACAGAGACAGCTCAGCAGCTCTTCCTCAGCCCTCTTCCCTCCCTGGCAGCCAGGAGCAGGTGTCCCTCCCCTTGGGATGCCACTCCTGGGATTCTGTGGCTTTTGGCTGGAGCTGTGTCACCCTGCCATCATTCCCGCAGCCCCCGAGCGCAGAGCGGCTGGCTGAGGTCTCCTTTTCCCCCGGCAGGTTATTGAGAAGAACCTGAGCGGCTGGTGGTACATCCAGATCGAGGAGAAGGAAGGCTGGGCCCCTGCCACCTTCATTGATAAATACAAGAAAACCAGCAATGCCTCCAGGCCCAATTTCCTGGCTCCCCTGCCCAACGAGATGGCGCAGCTGCGGCTCGGGGACACCGAGGGCAGCGAGGAGGTGACAGGGCCCTGCCGACCCCTGCCAGAGGCTCCTCCCAACGGCATGGACTGCACTGGGAGGTGGGGCAAGGACTGGAAGGGGAAGGAGGCTCCTGACAGCGGGGACCTGTCCCTGGCTGGGGGCTACGAGGAGATCTCGGACCGCGACACGGAGGAGAAGCCCAGCCTTCCACCCAGGAAGGAGTCCATCATTAAATCAGAAGGAGAGTTACTGGAGAGGCAGAGACCTCCCCCCAAGCCCCCAGGCATGATTTTGCCCATGATCCCACCCAAGCAGTCGGCAGCCCCGAAGGACAGCAAGAAGCCGGAGCTGAAAGCGGAGAAGGGCAAACACTTCCAGCTGAAAAACGAAATGGGACTGGAATGTGGACACAAGGTGTCGGCCAAGGAGGTGAAGAAGCCAAACCTCCGGCCCATTGTCAAGCCAGCGAAGCCAAAAGCTGAGCCTTTGGAAGACAAACCTGAGCCCATCACCCAGAACCCGTTCTTGAAGTCGAGACCTCAGATCAGGCCAAAACCCGCTGCGTGTCCCCGGACTGACCCGCCCCCAGCCGATGACAGACTGGACATTTGCAGCCTGCGCAGCAAGCTGAGACCTGCCAAGTGCCCAGAGAAACCCTCGGAGCAGGACCCCGCTGCCGGGGACAGCTCCTTCAGCAACGCCACGCTCTGTTCCGAGCCCTGCGGCAGGTTCCCGGAGCGGCCGGGCACCGACAGCAAAGCCCTGCCCAGGGTGGACGGTGCCCCCAGAGAGGCACTGCCCAAATCTGCCCTGGGCCCAGCAAACCCCCCCTGTGCCAGGGACGCCCCTCCGCAGCGCCCGGTGGTGCCACCTCGCAGGCCACCCCCTCCCAAGAAGACGGGGGCTCCTGCAGGTGTCCCCGCCGAGCCCCGCGCCCCGGCACGGGAAGCTCCGGAGGTCAGGCCCTCTGCAGTGCCAGGGAGGCCCATGCTGGTCCCTCCCAAAGCCAAGCCCTTCCTCTCCGCCTCCATGCAAGACGAAGCCAAAGCCAGAAGCAGCATAAACCCAAAGGTCATCTCCAAGCCCGTGGAGAGGGGCGAGGCCAAGGAGAGGAGCTCAGCCCCCGGCTCCAGCCCGGACGTCTCCAGGGAAGCTCTCTACGTGGCAGTGGCGGATTTTGAAGGTGACGAGGAGACCAACAGCTTCAGAGAAGGGACTTTGTTTGAAGTTCGTGAGAAGAACAGCAGTGGCTGGTGGTTCTGCAAGGTGCTGGCTGGGGGGCCGTGCTGGGAGGGCTGGATCCCTTCCAATTACCTGCGGAAGAAGCCGTAGCCGCTCCTCGGCCTGCGCGGCCGGAGGCTCCCTGGTCTCTCACCTGAGTATTTAATGAGCAGATTAATTTATAGTTTTCTGTAAGGCTGGCTTGAAAAGAAAAGCTAATAATTGAGATGCCACGCCTCCCAGCTGGAGCCCCTGGGCAGCAGCTGGAGGGAGCAGCTCGGCCTCCTCTCCCCACCCTCCTCCTCCTCACATTCCCCTTGGCTCCCGTGGCTCTCTGTGCTGGGGAAATGGACCTTGAGTGATATTCTGCCACCTGTGTGGTGAATTGGAGAGAAATCCAGCAGCAGCCAGGTGGAATGGTACCAATGAAGGAAATCACAGAAGGATTTGCCTTTCCCTGAAGCTTAGGGTCATGGTGAAGCGTTGCAGGGCACGGTGCTTAGTCCAGGGGTGGAGCAGAGCCACGGGGAACGAGGTAAAAAGGAGGAATGATTGCTGAGAACAGGTTCCTGTGGCTCTGTCTCTGGTTAAGGGCTGTGCCATGCTCCCCCTGCACAGGGATCATCCCTTGGTCCTTCCCTGCTCTACAATGACAAGTGTTAACTTCAACATCCTCCTGGTGGAAGAAAAATAAGGACAAATACACCCTCATTTAACAGCTCCTGTCTGTGCTGGTCCAGGACAGCTCTCAGGCTTCTCCCCTGCAATACTGCAACCAAACATCAGAGGGGTTTTGCTTCCGGAGCTGAGGAATTCTATGCAAGGCACAGAGGACCAGAACAGCCCCAAAACCCCTGGAAAAGGGATGCTTTGCTCTCCTCCCCACACAGACTGCCCTGCCCTGTTGGACTAGGAGGGGACCACCCCTTCCCACGACCCACTGAGCTCCCCGGGCTGGCAGCCGGGAGCGGGGTCCTTCCCTTGGTGCTGATATTATCAAGTGCAATCCAGAATGTGGGAGCTCAGCTCCTCATCACCACCAGTTCTGAGGTGTGTCTGGTGCTCAGGGGCTGCCTGCCTTGTTTGTCACCCCACCTGCCTGTCCTCCAGGTTCTTGCACTTCACCCTGTGGGCCAGGTTGGCTTGGAGGGGTTTCTGGGCAAGCAGAGCCTGGGGTTTTTCCATGCTGACATTCCTGCCTTGCCCTCAGTGCTGCTTTTCCCAGCAGGAGGATGAGCATGGATGTGCTGTTGTTCCCCAGTGCTCCTTTCTTCCTTTCTGTCCTTGGCTATTTGCAGCTTCAGGGCCACATTTCTCTCCAGAAGAGCTTTAAACCCACACGTCTGTGGGTTTCACAGAGACACAGAATTGTTGGGGCTGGAAGGGATCTCTGGAGATCATCCAGTCCAGCCCCCCTGCCAAGGCAGGGTCAGGTTTGGTGTTGGCCAAGCCCTGTTGCCCTCTCTGGTCTAATTGCAAGTGTGAGCAATGCAGCCACATTGTTTTGCTGCTGAAAATAATGACAGTTTTCCCTCTCATTTGAGGCTGGCTGGATTGAAGGAGCGTTTTCCACTCCCCCAGAGGCTCACTTCCTTCTCTGTCCCATATTTTCCACCCTGGGAAGGTGGAGTTGAAGATCCCTCTGTCTGCATACAGAAGAAAAGAGGGGTGCCTCTGGCCAGGATCACTCTGGGGATGGCAGTATTTGATCTGACAGAGAAGTCCTGCCCATCCTCAAATCCAGCAGCCCCAAAATTCATTTTTAGCCATGGGAATTCATGCACCCCGGCGTGTGGCTGATTCCTCTCCCTCCCACCTGCAGTTTTCTCTGGTGGCACATCAGCCCCTGATCAGGCTGACTCACCTGAGCTGGCAAAAAGCAGCGCATTTGCAAGCCAGTGCAATAACAAAGCTCCTGCTGGCACATCGGGAGGTGTTGATGTGCTCCCGGGAGAGCTGCAGGGTGGGTTGAGCCAGCGCTGCCTTCGCTCTGCCTGGCTCCACTCAATCCCTTCTGCTTTGGGAAGGAGTGGGGACAGGATGAGTTAAGCCAGAGCTGCTCCACAGCCAAATCCAGCTCCCACGGATTCTGGGAAGGGGCTGGAGCTGCACTCTTGACACAGGGTGCAAGGGCTGGGTGTCCTTTGCCCGGGCACCGTGTCCTTGCTCTGCTGAATGGCCTTTTCATCTCTGCTCTCCTCAGACAGGGCTGTGCTGTTTGTGTGGCCTCACCTCTCAGTGAGGGCTCTTCCCTCTGGCCTGAGCCTCGGAACTGCTCCTGCTCCATTTTCCTGACACAAGTACTGTATTTGGCTTGCTGAGTGCGTGACAGGATCACTCCCTCCTTCCCAAAGAGCTTCCAGGAGGGATCACCCTCAGGAGGTGCCCACACCTGCAGCCTTACCCCCTTTTCCACCCTCCTGCCTGCCCAGGGGCCTGGCCAAGCTCCTGTGGGGAAGATGCTGGAGCCACAGGGCTGGCAGGGCTTTGTCCCCCATCTGATTTGTGCCCCCGGTCCTGCAGCCACCTGTGCCCCAAGCCAGGCTGCCTCTCCTCCCTGTGCCTCCTGCTGCCCGGTGAGGAGGAGGAGGGTGCCCAAAAGCACCCCAAACTCGGATGTAGCCCCCAGCAGGCACAGCCCAACCTCCCAGAGCAGCCCTGAGCTCAGGGCTGGTGCCAAGGGGCCCAGGGGCTGGGATCTGGGGACAGGCAGGGCTGGGCACATCCTGGGTGGGCATCAACCCTGCGGTGCCCAGCTCCTGGCAGGCTCCCTCAGCCCCTCTGGTTGTCCACGTGTCTCTATATTCTGTAATGTGTATAAATCTCCATTACTGTGGGTGGGTGGGGGGCAGCAGAAGGTAGATGTAGCTGTGTCCATGCCCTGTCTATACCTTCACCTTTAAGGGATGGATTTTTATTATTTTTTTTTTAATTTGCTGGGTTTGGGGTTGTTGTTTTGTTGTTTTTTGTTTGTTTGTTTTTTTTTCCTTTAGTTTTCTTTTTTAAAGAAATAAAAAGAAACTGCTTGACTGGTTTCAAGCACCCTGGTGAACCCGTGTGCATGGCTGGTGGAATTCTGGGGTTCAGCTCTGGGGGTAAAGTGAGACAGCTGAGTGCCTAAAAAGACATTTTGGCATAAATTGTGAGGCTCATTCAGCACCCAGAGCGAGCCAGGGGTTTGTGTGAACACTCAGCCCTGAATTAATTCTTCCCCGTGAAGGAAAATGGAAAAGGGAAAAGGAAACAGGAAAATGAAAGAGAAAAGGGAAAAGGAAATGAGAAAATGGAAAAGCAAATGAGAAAAGGGAAAGGAAAAGGCAAAAGGAAAGTGAAATGGAAAAGGAAAGAAGAAAGGGAAAAGGGAAGGAGAACAGAAAAGGGAAGGGAAAAAAAAAAGGAAAAGGGAAAGAAAACAGGAAATAGAAAAGGAAACAAATGAAAAATGAAAATGACAGTCAGGCCCTCCTGCTGTGTCTGCATCACCCCTGGCTGCCACAGCCACAGGAGGGGCCAGGCTGGAGCTGCCTTGCCTGAGATTGGATCAGAAATCTCTGGCCCCCTGTAGCCCTCACAAATGTGAAATACACCCTTGTTCCCCAAACTTCAGAGGGTTTCCAGGGTTAAATGAGCCAGCAAAGCCCCCCAGCCCATGGGGCAGTGACTCCCAGGAGCAAAGCAAAGATTTGTAAAGTGATTTTTAAAATTATTATTATTATTATTTTGGAAACCCCTGCCCCTCTGGATCAATCTTGCCTGACTTTGCAAATCAAAGCTGTCTCACCCCCCAGCTCAAACTCTTTGAAGCACTCCAGAGCACTCTGTACAAGCCAAAGGTTTATTTGTTTCATAAACAAGTCAAATTATATTCATGGAAAACAGGTAAATGGACAAAAGGAAAACACACAGCACTGAACACTATAGAGCACTGACATGTAGAGGTGCAGCTCCCTCCCTCGTGCGATGCCCTCCCTCCCCAGGCCCCCCAAAAATTTGCTTGAAAAGCCTAATACAGAGGTCCAAAATCTGATTCAGCTTCAACAAGATAATACAGGTCACAGTATTGAATCATAAAGGTAACGACAAGAGAGGAACTGCCTCACAAAGGGGGAGAGGTAAAAGAGTTCCCCCATCTCTTTCCTTTCTTCCCTTTTTTTCTTAAATTTTCAAACCAAGGTTAAGGAGGAGAGGAAGGGAAAATCCATGGAAAGAAACACTTTGTCCCTCCTATATATAAATAGGAGTGAAAAAGGTTTCTCAGTGAACACAAAATTCTATAAAACTACCATTGATCTGTGTTGGTTTTCTCCCCCCATCTTTTTTTTTTCTTTTTTTTTCTTTTTAAAAGTTGCTTTAAAAAGGATAAAAAGTGCACAGACACCCTTATAAGGCACAAACAGATCTTCTGTACAAATCATATATCATTGGACTGTTTAAAAAAAATAGCAATACGAATACTAACAATGAAATCTGTAAGAGGCTACCTTTTCCTGGAAATATATATATATATATTTAATATTTTATTTTTTTTGAGGCCTATTTTGGAAAATTCCTGTTGCTCTTGGATAGGCAGGGCCACAGGTCCACTGCTCTCCCATCCCACTCGGTTCCCTTGCTGGCCTCACTGGGTGCTGCCCCTTCTTGCAAACTGGTTTTGGCTGCTACAGCAAAAAATTCAGCCTCTGCAAAGTGTCCTGAACAGCTCCTGGGGTGGATTCGGTGTTTCTCCTTGCTGGCTTAAAAATACAAAACAGAGCTACACCAAAAAAACCCCACCCAGGCTGCGCCCACCCTGCAGCTGGGACAGCAACCCTGGGGACGGCCCAGCCCTGATCCAGGCTGGCAATTCCAGCAGCTTTCCTTCAATTCCTCCCCATGGAAAGGCTTTTCACTGCAGGCTGTGCCCTGGCACCGCTGTGCCCCTGGTGCTGTGCCCCTGGTGCTGTGCCCACTGCCCACAGCTGGATCTGCCAGCGTGGGGCTGGGAGATCCCTGGGAATGCAAAGCCTGCATTCCCTGGGGTGCAGGACAGCTGGGAGCTCCAGGAAAGCTCTGGATGCAGGGAATGTGCCCTCCTCAGGGCAAGGGGAGAGTGAAAGGGGCAGTGGCTCTGCTGAGGGTAATGGCACAGCCAGTGGCATCAGCCAGGTCTCCAAAAAGGGCTCTGCAAAGCTGTTGGGCCCTGGTGCAGGGCCATGGCTGAGAGGCCTCGCTCCACAGCAGCCTCTCATGGATACACTCAATAAAAATGGTCACCAGCTCTCCAAGGAAAAAAACCAAAAGGTTTCTGGGTGCCCTGGGAGCACAGCCCACTGCAGGAGGAGGATGAGGGATGAGCTGCTCCCTGTGTGTGCCCTCCCCAATGGCAGCGTGGCACAGGGCTGGCACGGGCCAGGACACAAACCCAGCTCTCCTGGCACAGCCAAGACACCACTTGGGCAGCAGCACCACGCACCCACAGCCCTGGGGGAGAGAGGGAATAGCCAGACATCACTCAGGCTCCCTCTGTGCCCAGAAGCCCTGAAATGTACAGGAGTTATTATATTTTTTCCTTTTGCTGGACTAAAATATGGTAATTGCACCTTTCTGAAAAGCTGTTCTTACCCACTTGGTGGCACACAGTCATGAGCTGCAGTGACACAGCTCCTCTCATCCTCCCATTTCCATCTTTTTTTCCCCTCTCTGTGAGCCTGGACCAGCTGGAAACTGGCCAGGAGGACAGGACAGGGGCTGTGCCATGGGCAGAGGACGGAGACTGGAGCAGCAGGGAAGAGGATGCTGAGCTCCTCACCCCAGCCCTGGTGCTGCACAATCAGGTGCTGCCTGTAGCTGACATTACACCCAAAACCCGTTTACCTTTTAATTCCCACCATCTAATTCAGCCTCAGAGCCTTTTTCTTTCCTCCTAAGTAAAGCCAAGTGAGATAGTCCCTGTTTTTCTCAACAAGGTCTCATCTAGAGTTGAGACCCAGCATGCAGGCAGCTGGGAGCTGTGCTGGGAAACCTGCAAAGGCTGGAGAAAGAAAGGTAAAATCAGCATATACAGTCCCCAGAAATAAAGGTGAGCCTGATGGGGACTGGGTCAGAAATGAATTTCTCACCAGAGCCTCCAAAAAGTCCCCGTGGTGGGGCAGGAGGAAGGCTGAGCCCTGCCTGCAGCAGGGGAAGGTCTGGCACAGGTGACAGTCAGGACCGGGTGCCACCTGCCAGGAGGGCAGAGCAAAGTGCAGGGGGTTGTGCCTGGAGGTGACAAACCCCAGCACTGCAGTGTCCCAAGCCAGGACTGCAGTGTGCCCATCCCAGCACCCCTGTGCCCCACAGGCTGCAGTTTATGGCTTCAGAAGGCAGCAGAGAGCCTGAGCTGCTCTCCCAGCTCCCTGCAGCTCCATCACTGCAGGGGCTGCCTGGGCTCTGGGTGGGCTCCTGCTCCTCACAGCTACCCCAGGGCAGCTCCCTGCTCTCAGCCTCCGTGGCCAGAAGTCCCTGTTCTGCCACAGAGAGAAAAATCTGTTTTACCTAAGCCCAGACCAGCTCCTCCATGTCCCCACGAGCCTGTTCACGGGGACAGAACCCCAATAAGTGACAACCTGGCCGTGCCACTATTTGGCCTGAGCTAATTCTCCTTACCTGACATTTCCACATCAGTTCTGTCCACTCGGAACCCTCCCGCTGGGCCTCGCCCCAGTTTTGCTCCACCACAGCACAAAGCCCCTGGCAGCAGCCCAGAGCTGTCACATTTTAGGGTCGGGAAGCCCGGTGGCACCTGGCACTGCCCAAGTGGCAACCTCCCCATCCCAACCCGCAGCACAGCGAGCCTCCCCCGCAGCGAGAGGAGGGAGAAAAGAGCCTTTGCACGGGAAATTTCTCATTTGCAGCTGGCTCGGGCCCCGCACGATCCTCAGCTTTGCTCCCTGAATTGTGCCCTACCAGTCAAATAAGGAAACACAGATAACGAGCCACTTGATAACGACTGACCAGCACGATAACCCAGAAGCAGGGACGGAAAGGCGTGGGTTGCTAGCGGCGTTCCCCCTTCCAGCAGCCCCCTACGGCCGGTAGATTTTAATCACATCTTTGATAACCCGTCGGCAGATGGGGCAGCAGGCGTTGAGCTGCTTCTTCAGCTTAAGACCACAGGTGTTGCAGAGGCACATGTGTCCGCAGGTGTAGATCACCGTGTCCACCTCGCTGTCAAAGCACACGGTGCACTCCCCGTTCTTGCTGCTCGATGGCTCCGGAGGGGAGAAGACAGGAGAGATGGGGGGGCTCAAAGGGGAGCTGGGGGCAGTCACTGCAAAAGAGGAGGGTGGTTTAGTCACGGGGATGGGGCAAAGCTCACGCTGAATAAGACACTTAAATCAGTTCTGAAGGCTCTCCTTAGCCACTGCCCGGTTCTTTGGCCAAGTGAATCCCAGGGAATTCCAGCCAGAGCCTTCTCTACACATGGGGCAGGGGCCACATCCTCACATTGTTTGAACTCTTATAGGGATGGTGATTCCACCACTTGCCTGGGAAGCTTGTTCGATATCTGACCACCCTTTCCATAAAGAGATTATTCCTTATATTCAAATTAAACCACTCCTGGTGCAACTAGATGCTGTTTCCTCCCATCCTGTCCCCGTTCCCTGGGAGCAGAGCCTGACCCTCCCGGCTGTCCCCTCCTGCCAGGGACTTGTGCAGAGCCACAAGGGCCCCCTGAGCTCCTTTTCTCCCCTTTCCAGCTCCCTCAGCCCCTCCTGATCCTTCCCCAGCTCCGTTCCCTTTCCTGGACACCCTCCAGCCCCTCCATGTCTTTCTTGTCACGCCCAGAACTGGACACAGCCCTCGAGGCACAGCCTCTGCAGTGCCCAGCACAGGGAACAGTCCATGCCCTGGTCCTGCTGGCCACACTGGTGCTGATCCAACCACTGCACAGCCCTTCTGCAGGCCGTGAAAACCTTCCCAGCACTGTTTCCTCCCCATTCCTTCTGCTGGCCTGGCAGGAGAGGCAGCCCACGAGGGCTGGCTGTCCTTACCCAGTGAGGACTCGGAGGCTGATGAGGACCTGTTGACGCTGAAGGCCATGTCCGAGTCGCTGTCGTACTGGGAGCCCCCGGGGGATCCTGAGGGAGACACGGTCACTGGGCTGGACTGCACCGTGCCTGGAAACACAGGAGAGAGCTGAGCCCACGCAGGGACACCCCAGCCCCAGCCAAGCCCCCTCAGCCTGCCCAGCTGCTCCCACCCCACCTGTGCAGGGGCCTCAGGGCGAGCGCGGCTGCTGAGTTAATGCTGCCCCTTGGTGACCATACAGATCAAGATTTGGGATGTGACCCCAGGGTCTGGACCTCATAATGCCTCTGTATGGTGCCTGTTGAGCTTCAGTGAAGCAAGCACCAGGTGATCCAATATTTGCCTTTCCATTCCCCACAACCCCCAGCAGCAGTGGGCTCCAGCTGTGGCTGTCACACTGTCAGCTGGGAAAGGCCATTGCTTTGGATGGAGAAAAACTGCTTTACAAAGTCATTTACATCTGTTTTTCTGATAGAATCCTCAACAGAAGGAAAGGAGAAAGGCAGCAATGATCTCCTGATCCAGCAGTGGATCAGAAGTGCCAGCTGATCCCCAAGCTGTTGCAGTGCTTCAGAAGCAATTACTGCCCATGCTTAAACCAGAGCTGTGCTCACAAAAATCATCCTCAGCAAGGCAGAAGTTTAATACCTGTTGGCTGGAATAGGGAGTTTATAAAGAAAACCTTCTAAAATCAAATCCACTGAAAAACAGCTGCCCCCCACAGCCATCCCTGTTTATAAAAAATTCCCTTCTAAAAACAAACCCACTGAAAACCAGCTGCCCCAAACAGCCATCCTTGTTTATAAAGAATCCCTTCTAAAAACAAACCCACTGAAAACCAGCTGCCCCCCACAGCCATCCCTGCCTCCCTGCCTGCTGCTTGTTTTATCTCTCAAGTCTCATCCTTTCCTGGGGGAACCATAGAGGCTGCACACATCTCTGTGACAGGGACCACGTTTTGTCCCTCTTGTTTGCAAACACCAAGAGCTGCACCCTCACAGCAGTGAACACAGCGAGTGCAAACCCAGAGCTCTGGTTCTGGCCCAGGAAACTTCCCAGGTGCTGTGTTGGCTGCACTTACCCAGGATTTTGAGCTGGTTGATCACACCGTGGATTGTAAAAAACACCCAGAGGGACTGCGAGGTGTCCACGCACATGAGCATCCCCCGGCTGGCCCCGTTGACCCCGTGGTGCACCTCTCCGTTGGGCAGGACCATGAAGCTGAGGATGTCGCCGCTGTTGAGCACCGGGAACGCCCGGTAAACCACCCAGTACTCCTTGCGATCCAGGAGAAAGTCCGGATCCGCCGGGAGCTCGTTTGTCCGCAAAGTGCTCGGATCACAAGAGGTGATGCCGAACGAGAGGGCCCCGTAATACGGCAGCCCGAGGTGTCCTACTTCCACAAAGAGGCTCTCCCCGATGTGCAAAGGCCGGTCAGAGAACACCAAAGTCCTATTGCTCTCCTGCCAGTTGGTGCAGGCCACCATCCTGTCCTGGGAAAAGGTGATGTCGGGGCCGCGGGTGGGGTGGAACCGCAGGTCGGTGTCCAGGAAGGCCGGCACTCCCTGGGCGTGCTGCCGCCGGTTGGGGCAGCAGGGGATGATGTGGTTGTCAGTCCCAAGTCCTGGAACCCGGCTTAGGTTTAGGTTTGCGATTTTGGCCACCACTTGGTTGTTCTCGAGCTCGTTGTTGTTGAAGTTGGCCGAGTCGTGGTTGCTCTGGGGAAGGCAGGTGCTGAGCCGGGCGGTGCTGAGCCGGGCAGTGGTCATGGTCTCTGCAAACATGCTGTCTGTGAGAGAAACCCAGGCACAGAGGCGTTAGTCAGGAGAAAACTGCCTGCTTTTCTGCTTACAGCTATTATTGCAGCCTGCAGACTCCACAAGGAAAAAATCAGCCACGGGTCAAGCACTAATGAACAGCTCCTGGTGCAGAGGCACGTGTGGAGCAGGCAGAGGAGCGGCTCCTTCTTGGCATCAGCCAAGGAAAAACAAGAGTTCCAAAGTACTCGTGTGATCTGGGAGTTCCCTGCACTGGGGAATGGGAAAAGCTGTAAACCAGTGTGGTCCTACAGCTTTCTGAGAAGGATCTGATAGCTCTGAGGTTATACTATTTTAAAAAAGTCTCAATATTTTGTTGTCCCAGGGTCTTGTGCCAGACAAATCCACAAGTGATGGCTGAAGGAACTCAAGGATAAATGGATATTCTTTCCACACTCCTTACACTTGTGTCCAGGCACAGGTGTTTCCAAGAGAGGTCATTTCAAGCCTCGTATCTCAGGGGTGTTCACAGCCCTGCAGAGGTTTTGAATGGAGAGCTTGTCACAAAAGCTACTTCCTGCAGGTGTTAGAAAGCTTTTACAGCAGAAGGCTCTTTTCCCTTTTCACAGCGAAGGGAAAGTCAGGATGTTGATCCTTAATTAATTTCCCAGGTTTTCACTTCAGCCATGCCAGGCCTGGGGGTGAAGTAAAGGCATGGGAAAGTTTGGGAGTGTCCTCCCTTCTACCTCCAGCCCTGCCTGGGGCAGCCTGGACATGGAATCCAAGAGTCTGTGTGAATGACTCCTGATCTTCCCAGAGATGGAGAGGGGTGAAGCAGCCCAGCACCAACACTGCTCCTCCTTGGAGGAGAGAATCCCCAGGCAAAGAAGGAAAAACACCCAAGTCCACCCAGCAGCTGCAAAGCAGAACCTGCCTCGCTCACAAGCCCAGGCAGGGGAGGCCAGTGGGGTGGGCTGATGGCTGGAGCAGCTCCTTCGCAGCCAGCACAGCTTGTGAGGCAAGAAATGCTCCCACAGAGGAATCAAACACATCCAGGTTTCATAATGGATGTCCCATCCTTGGGAGTGCCCAAGGTCAGGTTGGGCAGGACTTGGAACAAGTGGAAGGTGTCCCTGCCCATGGCAGGGGTTGGGATGAGATGATCTCTGAGATCCATTCCAAACCCTTCTGGGATTCACGATGCTGAAAGAAACATTTTGTGCCTCAGAACTAGAGATGTATTTCACAATTTTCTCAATTCCCAACATTTTGGGAGGCAGAGACAAGCACATCCTCAAGCAAGGAGTTCAGGTCTCCTGGTGCCCCAGATGGCTGAGCATGGCCCTGATTTCTGGGGCAGTTTGTGGGGTTTGGTATTTTAATTTTAAAAAAACCCTCATCAGAGTACAGGTGCTCTCATCCTGAGCCTTTCACTGGGAACTCTTGGAAGCTGCAGGCAGGACTGGAGGTAGGAAGCAGAAAGAAGCTTCTGCATTTTATTTTTCAAACTCCAATTTAATGAGGAGAAAGGAGAGCTCTGGTGAAGCAGCTGCCTTGGCCAATACAGCAAGCACTCCTTCTCCTCCATGACGAGCACCAGAGGCTGGAGTGTGTCGCAACTGCAATTACAGGACAAGCTGCTGGTGAGGTTTAATTACACATTTGAGGCACAGCAGACAGGGAAAAGCGTTGTTTATGTGTGGCCTTCTCGCCTGTAAAGTAATTGGCACCGTTCAGGATGTGTGATGGAGCTGCCTGCCCTCTGCACGCGCCATTCCACAGCTTATCCCTGCTCCCCGTGCCAGGCTGGCAGCACCATCCCCTCGGGCAGGTGCAGCTGGCTTTGGCTGTTAAAACTCCATCAGCTCCGAGGAGCCTCTGGGAAAGGGCAACTCTTGGATTTTAAAAGAGCTCCCTGTGGTGTAGCCCAGTTCAAACACTCCATCTAACGCTGCATTCATTAGAAATTTCAATGCTGTCAAAGCCACGAAAGGAAAATCATTCCATGGCCATCAGCTGGGCTTGCTAATGGGAACAGACAGATTCATCCCCTCTTGCTGCCTTCCCCAAGGATGAGGCTGTAAATCAGCCAGGCTCCAACTGATTCCAGGGGTCTGAGTGATGTCCCCTGAGCCAGGGAAGGGTCACCATGCCAACACAGCCCCTCAGACTGCCAGCCGGGGTGGGAGCACGGCCAGGAGCGGAGAGAGGGGCTGGGGAAGGGCTCCAGGAAGCTCTTGGGCAATTACTGGGAGTTTTCCAATGGACTGGCAGCAATTGGTAGCTGGGAAAGAACAAAGTCACAACTGGTTCTTTTTGTCTCCTCAATCCCTGGGACCTTGCTCCATGTTTTTCCATGCCAAAGCAGCACATCCAGCTCAGAGAAAGCTGAGTGGAGCTACAGGCAAAGATTCCCATTTATCCCATCCCATAATGTGCAGCCTTAGGGCTTCCCAGCACTACCAGCTCTGGAATATATTGCTTTCTGCATCCCTACTGCTGGCAGAAGAAAAAAGATTAATTAGAAGTACAAAACCAACAGCAAATTAATTTTCTTAAATAGAAATAATCATAGAAATAATCACACAGATCATGCATCTTTCCTACAGGATCAGAAAGAGCAACCAGAAGAGCAGCCCCCAGGCCCAAAGAAGCACTCACCTAGAATTTGCACTTCGTGGGTAATTCCATAGACGTCTATGAGGGCCCAGAGAGGCCCGGAAACTTTAATACCACAGTGAAACAAGATGGGCTCCTCGTCATTAATACTGTAGAAGACTCTGCCATGCCGGTCCACCCAGAAGGCCAAGATATTGTCCCTGACCGCAAACCTCTCCGGCAGGGCCTTGGCCCAGTAGCCGGGGCGGGTGACGAGGTCGGGGCAGGCGTACTTTGGTATCTCCTCGGAGCTCATCTGCGAGGGGTCATGGATGGTGAAGCCGAAGCGCAGGGCCCCGCTCCAGCCGTGGTGCACGGCCACCAGCTTGAGGCGCACCTTCTCGTACAGGTGGATGGGCCGGTTGGTGAAGGTGACGCCGTTGCAGAAGCTGTTCCTGCGCGTGGCCTTGCGCGAGTGCGCGTCCAGCCGCACGTTCTTGCCCTTGGCCTGCGAGTGGAAGCGCGGCGGCTCCGCGATGGCCAGCACCGAGCGTCTCTCATGGCTGCTGTTGGGCAAGCTGTAGTAGGGCCGGCTGGACACCGAGCGGGTCTGGTGGCTCGTGTCTGCCAAAGGACAAAGCACATCTGTCAGGAGGGCTCGGCACCAGGTCTTGGCTCAGCTGGCTGTGATTTGCACCGCTCTGCCAAGACCTGTTTCACCTTAAAACGGCACGACCTGCTCTTTGCCATCCCAGCTTTCCGTGGAAACGCGTTGAGCAGAGGCTCGGCAGCTTCCCTGCAAAGCCGGGTAGGAAAGAACATCCCTTGTTCCCATCAGGTGCTTCCCATTGCCCTCGGAAAAGCTCAACACCTGCAGCTCCCAGTTTCCTCCTTGCAGTGCTGTTAACTCACATGGTGGCCAGAGACAAGAGCTCTGAGGATTGTGGCTCTTAAAAACCACAGATGCTCGAGGTGAGCGTGGGTTTTAGGAGATTTCTGGGGGGACATGCAGCCACCAGCTCCTCTGTGCCCTGATTTTGTAATGATGAACAGGAGCTTTTGACCAACAGAAATAATCCAAGACATTCAGCAGCTGGAGCACCTCTGCAACACCAGACTGTTCTTCCCACACCTCCAGCCCAGCCCCTGGCTCAGATATCAGATGCAAGTGGCACATTCAGGAACATTTCATCCTGCACAGCCTTGCCTTTACCCAGAACCTCCCATGTGAGCTCAAAGCACTTTATAGATGATGATTGTTTTCAGCTTCACAGCACCGCAGATGGCACAGAAATCCTGCCATCCTCGTTTTACAGATGGGAGAAGGAGAATTGATGGGTGAGATCTTGCAGCATTTAAAGTCAATAGCAATTCTGAGACCGACTTCAAGAAAAGCAGATTTGGGGCCTAAAGTGAAGTTCACACAGGCATGAAGCAGAAATGAATAAAAGCTCAACTTTGAATCTTAAACCTTAGCTAGAAGCTCCCTGAGGGGGAGACAATGTATTTTGCATATCCCTGAGCACATGGGGCACTTGCTCCAGGTCCTGGCTCCCACCACCACCATGGTGTTCCAGGGAATTTGGTCTCCCCATTCCCTGCCCACTCCACCTCTCCTCCTGTCTCTGCACCTGGCTTTGTAGATTTTTAAAGCAAAAATGGAACACATCCTGAATGCCCAAAGCCATCCTGTTAAATATAAAAGCCCATCACATGCTCACAATCATCCTGAACTCTTCTGCCATGTTTGAAGCTTCAGCAGCTGCCTGCCAAGCCCTTCCTTCAAGCTGCTTCCTCCCTGTGTGCAACCCCAGGCTTCGCTTCGTGACAAAGGAAGGATTTTCTGTCATTTTCCTCTGTTGGAAAAAACCCACCAGAAGATCCTGGGAGCTCAGCTGGGTGAGCTGGCAGGAGGGCTGCAGTGGTGGTGATGTTTTTTTGCAAGTAAAACCAGAGCAGACAGGGCAGCAAGAGGCTGGGACCTGCACTAAGGCACTGAGCAAAGAGAAGAGAGGTTGCAGCAAGATCTGAGCACAAGATTAGCCCTTCAAATCAGGCATCTGTAACAGGAGTCAAAGGGCTATGAAGGCAAAAAGCTCCTGTTTGCAGCAAGATATAAATAACGAGCAAAAGGTGTTTTGTCTCTTGGTTTGTCCTGCACATGACAATCGCTGTGCAATGGTTAATCCTGTCAAACACCAGTGGAAATTAATACATCCTTGCTCTCAGCCAGTGAGGGGAGGGTGCCAGTTCCATGCCAGGGCTGTGGAAAAGAGCCCTGGAGCAGATGGGGAAGGGAAAAATCCTCCCCAGGTGTTGAGTGCCCAGCCCAGCACCTCTGCTCGCAACAGCACTGCAGGCCAGGCATCCCCCAGGCCTGCCCCAGCACAGCAGGGCTCCCCAGGAAGGAACATTTCTTTGTGTATTTCCAGGAGAAATCTCATTCCTTGCCTGCTGAAGAGCTAAAATGCAGAAATGGCTGCTCCCAGCACAACCCACCCGTAGCTCATGTGGGTGCCGCTCCATGTGTGCGCTGTCAGCGCTCCCAAAAAACAGCACTGCTGCAAAGGGAGCGTGGATGGGGGCTCCTGAGCAGTGACCCAGCCAGAACAGGGCAGGGTGAAGCCTCTCCTGGCCTGGGATCCCCACACAACAGCCCTTTTATCATGTGGGAAAAGGCCTTTCCATGTGGGATCTGCCTTTGTGCCGTTCTGGGTCCAGCAGAGCTGGGACAGACCCCAAGGGGCTCCTGCAGAACTGGGTGGGCTCAGTGCCACCTCACACCCTGCCTGGCTGGGCAACAGCCTCCCCAGGCAGAGAAACCCTCATTTTATAACCCACTGAGCTGCTTTTTGTTTCTGAAATGGGTAAAAACAACCCCCCTGTTGCTGCCAGTGCCACGGCCTGACATCCCCACATGGGCCAGGAGGAGAACGGAGGGAAGACAGATTTTGTTCTCCTCTCTGCTATCCCCCAAATCCCCTCTTTTCCAACCCCAGCCTTCCTCCCACAGCCCCTGATGGAGAAGAGACTCCTGTGAGGGGTGTGGGCCCCAGGCAGCTCCTCATGCCCCTCTCAGGAGGCCGAGGTGACAGTGCCACCAGCACGAGTGACAGGACAGCGAGGACACCAACACAGCTTCAAACACAGCTTTGTGTCCACCCTGCCAGAGGGGCACTCGGGGTCTGGCGCTTTTTGTTTTGTTTGGGTTTTTTTTTTTTTTTAAAAAAAAACAACAACAGGAAAGCATATTGTGGCTAAACAATAGGGGGAAAAAAAATAGGATAATTTATTTATAACGCTGTATCCCCTCTTCACATGAACACCTGCCGGTGGAATAAAGGCTGCCGTAACCCGAGGCAGGGAGGCAGAGTTTTCCCACTGAAACACTCCCGGGGCTCAGCTGGGACATGTGCTTTACTCATCAGGTGCTGACGGGGACTCTCGAGCTCAACAGGATGTTTGTGCCTTTCAATTGTGCCTTTGAATTGCCCTAATTTACAGCTCAGCTTCCCCAGTTTGGATCACGCTTAGGTCCCTCTGCTGTTGCTCCAAAGCCTCTCCCGACTGTGCCTTCCCACCCAAAAGCTGGGATGACGACAGCCAAGCTGGTGGCACAAGTGCCACCCTACCCCAGGGTGCCTGACAGGCAGCGAAGAGCTACGCCAACTCTTTTTTTCTTTTTGTTTTTTTTTTCAGCTGTGAGATTCCTACAACACTTGGGAGCAAGTCATTCCTTCTCTTTCTGCCTCGCTTCCCTTTCTAAAGGAGAGTAACACCATTCCTCCACCTCACGGGCAGCTAAAAGGATTGAAAAAGGTTCTCAAAGACGTTAATCCCTGAGCCCTGCGAGCCTGGCTGCATCATCACAGGGGACACAGACCCACTGAGGGATGCCCTGAGGTTCCATCCCTCTTTTTATTCCAGAGTTCTCCATTTTTCATCACTGCTTTCAAACGTGACACTCGCAGCGCACCCCTCAAACACACGAGCAAATACAGAAGGCAGGAGAATGGAAGGAAAGGCTGAACTGAAGGGTGAGCAATGCTCTGAGGCTCCTCTCTGAAACATGAAGGATAAGCCCTTTTGGCAAGGCAGAATTTCCATCCACATCCCTGTGGTGTCAGATGACACTGAGGCCGATTTGGGTTCTGGGGGTCCGTGCTCTCATCTGAAGCTTCACCTGCTTTCCAAAAGGCCAGCGCTCTCATTCCCGAGGTTATGCTGACCTTTGGAGCGGTATTTTAACAGACATGCACTTTGCATTTCAAAAAGGTACAGCAGGCAGACCCTGGACAAATTCCACATATTTATCATGGTTCCAGTTCTAAAAATAAACATTTTTTATTTTTTTTTTCACCCATTTGTTCACAGCCCTGGGTTTGCAGTGGCACTGTAATCCCACTGACAGCAGCAGACAAAATTCAGCTCCGAGCCCTGTCTGAGGCTGCTGCTCTCCCAGGGGCGTGGGATGGAGGCTGCTCAGTTGGGGAGTGACCTCCAGCCAGATCAATCCTGTCTTCACTTGCCCTGACAAGCCAGGCAGGAATAATACCCCTAAAATGGGGCAGAAGGGAATAATGTTGAAGGAGACCAGAGCTACAGTGAGAGCAGCCTGACAGGAGGAGGAGGAGGAGAGCATTGCCATCCTCACATGTCATCGGTAAATCCATGGTCTGCACCAAAGACATTCCCTGGTTCCCACAGCCTTGTCCTGAGGGCCTTTCCCAAGTAAATCCATGACAAAAGACCCACAGGATCACAAGGGGCAGTTTGGTGCCAAACAGGGCAGTGGGTACAGACAGGGAAAATCACTGGGACCATCCACAGCTTGCAGCAGGCACAGCCCATCATGAGGGAGCATCTGCCCTTGGCCAGAGAAAGGCTGAGATGTTCAGAAAGGGCCTGGAGGGTTCAGAGAAAGGCTGAAAGGTTCAGAGAAAGGCTGAAATGTTCAGAGGATGGCTGAAAGGTTCAGAGAAAGGCTGAAAAGCTCAGAGGAGATGCTGGAAAGCTCAGGGGAGAGGCTGAGAGGCAGCAGCATGCAGCCTGAAATCCATCTCTGGAGCCTCATGCCCAGCAAAAGGGACTCCACAGAACACACCCACAGCTCATCCTCATGGGCTCTGCTTTATCTGCAGCCCTGGAACCTCCTCCTGTCCCAGCAGATACTGGGGTGGCTGCTGCTGCTGCTGCTGGGCATTGACCAAGGTCCCTGCAGACAGGGGACAGGTGGCTTTTGCTTTGTGACAAGAACACCCCAACAGGAGGGGGCAAGAAGGGCGAGTTCACGGCGAGCTGGTGGGACCAGCCCAATCCCAGTGAATCCCAGTGTGCTCCAGTCAGAGCACAGCCCCATCCCACGGCATCCCCACTGCTGGAGCCACTGGGAGGCTGGAAGAGGCAGGGGAGGCTGATACCAAACATCCCCAGCAACACCAAACAGGATTCTGCTCTGACAAGATCTTATCTTCTGAGGACAAGAGATACAAATCTGCTCGCATATAAATTTAGTGCGCTGTCTAGACATTTTCTTTTCTTTTTAAATACAGAAAATGTGTCAGGGAGCTCTGTGGGAAGCACTGGGGTGGTCTATTCCATGCTCAACGGTGTGGATTTGAAAAGCTGGGCTACCAAATCCAACCAAAAAAAAAAAAATCTGCCTCATTTCTGAA